AATGCTATAGTATTGATTTGTTATATATATATATATATATATATATATTACACTGGCTTCCCACAGTATTTCCCACATATTATTTTGATTAAACTGTTGCATTAAAAAATTGAAAATTGAGCCAGTATTCTCGTAGACTGTTTAAAACAACATTCAGTGATCAATACTTTTATAAGCCATAAATATATACGCATATAACATAATTCGACTAATTGAATCTTTATATTATGTATATATTTATGCCACTGTTATTTTTTTTAGCGGGAAATCATTTTTTTCGACTATTACTGAGAAATTTTGTCTAGTCAGAATCATCTTCACATGTTATTTGCTGTATTCTTCTGAGATTAATTTCAGGATGTTGTAAATTTTAGAATGATAATAGTGGGATTCTTGTGAGTGATTAATCGATTGCTACTCCTTGGGAAATCGAATATTTAGTTTCAGAGGGAATTTCGTTACCAATCAGTATCACTTAGAGGACCATTGGAGACCGACGAGCACTGAATCTTCAACGGTGTACTCTGTGAGAAATCTGAATCAAAACAAGTGATTCAGCGAAGAGACTCTTTTCAACGAATTTATCATCAAGATGTACAGTCGTATATATATGGTTTTTTTTAAAGAAGTTATATCCGGGGAGGGAATTGAATCTTAGGTGTCAATGCATAAAATAATAATAATAATAATAATAATAATAATATGAAGTTCAATTAAAACTAAAATGTTTGTGATTATAATCGTAGTTGAATGTCAAGTGGCAAAGCAAATTAATGTCATATACAGAATAATTCATAGGATGGATAGAACTTGAAAAAGGATGTGCAATTATAGGATTAGTAGACAAATCGAATAAAATAAAAACGTTACGTAATATTGTGTGAAATTTAATAGCATAGAATTTATCGTTGTAAAAAAGAATTGATTTAGAATGACAAGTGGAACAAGTGAAATAATACCGGGGACAGTTCAAAGTGAGAATAGTAGTTATAGTAACAATTGACGTAATAAGGAAGAGTATACAAACTGAATAGACAAAATGAAAAAAATGAAAAATTGGTAGAGCTAGAATATGATTGGGGATTACCATATTTTAGCATTGAGGGATTAAGACCATGAAAGTTGGAGGGGTTGAACGAACTTTTTCTGTACACAGAGATCTGGCTTTTCTGTTTCGACAGCCAAAGCTTCAGCAATACAGATGAGTCGGGTACGTAGGGATTTGGGTAAATTATGCATTCACACCTAAGATTCAATTCCCTCACCGGGTATAACTTCTTAAAAAAACCATATATATACAACTGTACAGCTTGATGATAAATTCGTTGAAAAGAGTCTCTTCGCTGAATCACTTGTTTTGATTTTCCACATGTTACAATGGGAATTTTCTATGAGAAATTTGAATATCAATCTTCTGCTCTCTAGTCCCTACATGATTAGTGTCCTGAAATCCTAATTGAATGTCGTGATAGGGGAGGGAGCATGAATCATGCAAGAAGTGAGGCGTTGGTTTGTCAGTAGTGTTAATTCATGAATAAATAGAAGTTAGAATTCTCGGATCATTGGCAATATGGCTAACGGGATTGTCGCATAACATGAAGGTGCAGATTTCTAGCCCTAGTAGGTTAATTAGAGTGCACTAATGATAAGTCCACAGACTAGAATGAAATACCATTTACAAAATAAATTGTATGAACGGTAACAGTACACAACACAGGCATTACATCGGCCAAAGTGGGCGTCCCCTTCAAATCAGAATCCAAGAACACAAATCAGCCGTGAAAAGACACGATATATATTCTTTCATATCAATGCATGTAGACAATTATGGAAATCAGTTTGATTGGGATAATGTCAAAATCTTAGACAGAGGAAACACCAAAAGTAATGCCAGGGAATTCCTAGAAGCCTGGTACTCAAACGAGTAGGCAATTAACAACTACGTTAATATAGACCAAATATACCAACTAATAAAAAGTAAATCAGGTGACCAGAAAGTTTAAAATCCAAATCAATAGAAAATGATCCATACAGATGTACAGATGGTTACCAGGAGACGCAGTTCTACCACTCATGGAGAAATTTAAATCATTTCACTTTATGCTAAGTATTCCGCTAAAGATGTTGTCTAGAAAGGTGGACGACGAAAGCTCCGCAACTAAACCAACCAGCTCAGAGAACACTATTCATTGCAAAAGTGTCCAGTGTTGCTTGTTTTCTAGTCATTTGCTAATTGACATCAGATCATGATAAAAATCGACCTAAAAAGTGATTAAAACATCCCTAAAGAAGGTAAGATCTGAATAAAAATTTAGAGTTTTTCAGAATTTAAATGTCTACTACCGAAGGAACTACACATTCTTGTTTACAAGTCACTCTAGATCTTCATTCTGACCTCAGTCTTCAGAGTTTAACTGGCAGTAGGCTAAACATTTAAGACTGAAAAAAACTGTTTATCCTATCTCAATCATCAAACATTTTTTTTCACTTTAAATGTTTATATGGGGTACATAACATAAATAAATAGACATATTCTGTCATAATCAATGTCATCACACTCTAGGTAAGCATTCACAACCTATTTCAGTATAAATCAAGTTCTACTGAAGACAGAATGACACTTAATGATGAAAATGGTGTTATTATTAGTGAAGACATAGATAAGTCCGTAATGGAAGTCAATTACTGATCCAAACGTCAACGTATGTTATTATTTAGGCCTTACACAGGAATCTCAATGAGGCTAGAATTAGGGTGGTATTTAAACCAACCAAAACAACGAACTCTCTCGGAAATAAACTTGATCAACTTAAGCATCTGATATATCCAATTAGGGAAAATCATATAATATACCAGATACCATGTGATGACTGGTCAGACTAGTAGAACGGGGTCAGTTAGATTATTCGAACATAAAAATTTAGCTAGACCTAGAATGATGATTGATCCTGCTAAGTTAAATAACCCAGAGCAAAGCTCAGCTATTGCACTGCATTCACTTGCATGTAATCACAAAATAGAGTGGGACAAGGTAAAAGTATTCAAAGTAATATATTTAAGTGGAGATATGGGTTACTCACAAATTGATATGATTATGAGCAATAGATTCTGCTATAAACATCACTCACAGTTAATAATACTGCATCACTGTGTGATACTCATATGCAGTTATATTCTGCCACATTTCTACACTTACATTACACCACAAGATAACCAGTGTGCGTCCGTGGCACAGTCGTTAGAACTCTCGCCGACCATACACATGGTCCGGGATTCGATCCCCTACCAACACACACCCGATATCAATGGTCGGCCTGTAAAATTTGGTTTACTGATATCGCATGCTGAAAATCCATACTTGTACCAAAAATACGGTATGGAATCAAGCTATAATCAAAAAAACAAACTTGGTTGATATCGTTAACAAATAAAAAGAGAATATATTGTGACTTGAACCTTTAATACATTCTTGTATTGTTGACATGTTCGTTGTTCTTAGTAAGTCTTCGAAACATAAGTTGAAAGTAGGTCGAATGTAAAATATCTTGGATTGTGTATTACCTCTGACCACCTTTCCTGGTCTTCTCACATTATGTCAGTTTTCAGAAGGATGATTCATTTAGCGTTCTACGTAAGGAGGCTAAGATGATCGGGTATAACTCAGTCTGAACTGTTAACGTTTGTTAATTCTTGTATTCCACCTATTGCCTGCCATTAATCTTTCCCTGGCTGCTTAAGAAAGACCTGATTATATAACGCGAAGGGCGCTAAAAGCCATCAATAGTACCAGTGTGGTGGGTATTGCTAAACCAACTTGTTATTACTGTTGTAGACAGATTTATAGACTCCTACAAGAAATTAGGAAATATTATCCAGTCAGACCTTCAGCATCCTCTCCATACATACAACTCTCGCCTTGCATCTATCTCATCGAGTAGAGCTAGAAGCAACTATAGAAGACTACATGCTCAGACGACTAAGTACAAAAACTCTACGATACCTTATTTGGCAGGCAGACATTTTATATGATGAGAGAAGTGTAAGACAGGAAACCATCAACTAATTGAGGAACTTTAAGTAAACGGCCCTATTTTTATTCATAATTATATTATTGTTAATATTTTCACATAATATAATTTTATATTCAGGATCTTATTGAGCAATATCATCACTGTGCGTCGGTGGCACAGTGGTTAGGGCTCTCGCCGACCATGCGCATGGTCCGGGGTTCGAGCCCACGCCGACGCACACTTGATATCTATGGTCGGCCTGCGAATTTTGGGCTACCGATATCCACGCTGAGAATTCCATACTTGTGCCAAAAATACAGTGTGGAATCAAGCTGTAATCAAAAATAAAAATAAAAAAATAAAATAGTTGCAGGGATTTGATTGGTTTCAAGACTTCGTGATGAAATGACATAAGTTAGAGGACGATTAGAAAACCCGGTAGTACTGAGCATCTGTTCCATCCCAGTTTAGGACTCTTCACCAGCACGCAGGACATTCTGGTTACAAGGTGAGCTCGTAGGCCAATAAGCCATGGAGACTCGATCTAATGTCACATGAATTCCAACTTCTGTCAATTCGTGATATGGCGCAACCACTAGCGAATTTTACTGGCGAGTATTTATCCACTCACCCAATCTGCTCCACCCCACTGGTCACGACTTCCCACTAGTGACCAGTGTGGCTTAATGGCCTACGAGCTTGCCTTGTAACCAGAAGGTTCTGTGTGCTACTGAAGAGTCGCAAACTAGGATGAAACAGATGTCCAGTACTCCCAGGTTTTCTTCATGATGAGATCGTGAATTATTATCAGTATAAACGTCATGTTTTAGTTATTACCCTTATAATGGATAAGTTAGATACAATACTGTACTACTTAAAATTCCAAATTTGTGCCAAGAACACTGTGTGAAATTATTATTATGATTATTTTCATTCTGTCTTCTATCTACCCTTTCTTTTGAAAACAACAAAACCACCAACAAATTTTAGAATCTCCCATGAAGATGAATTGGCTAGTCAAAAGAAAAATCTCCAATCATGTCATCTTACCAATTGTACACTAAGTGCAACAACAGATACCTTGAAAAAATCAACACCTGCTGCATCACAGAATCCTGCCATCAGTGCCAATACTACTACTACTACAAATAATAATACTAATTATCAATCTCTGGATGAAACAAATGAAAAAGAAGCTCATGTGAATTACTTGGTAACTTTATTTCAAGCATTAAAAAATTCTGGTGTACAACCAGATTCATTTAAAGAAGCTTTTGATCGTATTGGTTTACCAGTGAATAGTACAAAATTATCAATGAATTCATTAGATTTATGTAAGTTCATTTTTAACAGTGTGACTCTTTATAACTCTTTCATTACAGTGTGAAGTTTGCCCCCCTCCCCCCGCTTTTCTTTTGCTTCATTCATTTGAATTCTGAGCGGAACATATGACTTCAAGCCTCAATAGCTGAAGTTTCAGTAAGAGTGATGTTGTTTTCCATAAGGAGTGGAGTTGTTACTCTTACACCTACTTAACCTTCCCTCTTATCTGGATTTAACACTGGATAATGAACTAGTTGTGGTTTAGATACACGTCAACAGGCATTGGAACTCGAACACCTCACTGTGGTTGACAACCATTCTACTATTGAATCATTTTCAAGTATTGGTTTTTTTATAAGGGTTTCATTCTGTTGGTTGGTTGAAGGATTCCATCATGAGCTCAAATCATTTACAGAATCATTAGAAAACCTGTGAAGGAGTACTGTACAGCTGTCTCGTCACAGTTTGAGACTCTTTAGCAACACGCAGGACCTTCTGATTACAAGACGAGCTAGCTCGTAGACCGTTAAGCCACAGGGACCCGATACAATGGTCAGCCTATGAATTCTAACTTCTGCCAATTCATGACATAGCGCGACCACTTCGCAATGCCTTCTTCGATGAGTTACTGCCTCACCTTCAACCTGATTGTACCACACTGATCATGGCTTCCCATTTTCCATTATAACGCTATAATATAATTTAATCGAAGTTTATGAGTACTGACTATTGATGTGACTAGTAGATGAAGAAGAAACTAGTCTGCCTGAAATTCACGTGAACCACTTCTCCATTAAAAACTGTTCCTTAACTTTGGTGAATGTTTATCCTTTAACAATGTCTGCGTGCTAGATCTTTATGTTCTGTTTGATTACATAATTTACATTGAAATGGTGGTTTACAGGGATTTAATTGGTTTCAAGGTAGATCCTCTTGCAGGCCGGTCTCAGTTAGAGAAATCAAGGAGCACTTGGTAACTACGTTATTCTAGCTTGAAATTCTTCAGTCATTGGTGAGTTGAATGACAGATGTGTTCGAACAGTATACAAGGTTAAATGTAAGTACACTTGATGGCTTCCGAGTGAAATAAAATCTAATTTAAGCTGAAAAATAATTAGTCCCATCGATTATGAACTACACAGTTTATCTGCGTTACAATGTTGAATTCTGTTTCCTTATAAATTCATCGTTAAGATCGAAAAAATAGTGAATTTTGATTTTTTGATTTACAGCTTGATTCCACACTGTATTTTCAGTACAAGTATGGAATTTTCAGCATGGATATCGGTAGCCCAAATTTTGCAGGCCGACCATAGATATCAGGTGTGCGCCGGCGTGGGCTCGAACCCGGACCATGTGCATGGTCGGCGAGAGTCCTAACCACTGTGCCACCGAATCGGGATTGAAAAAAGTTTTTTAGAATCATTTCTCTTATTATCTTTCACCACCACACAGTTCATCCACACCAACGTCTTGTAAATTACCAATGCAAATAAAAGCATACTAATATATTCTAATGGCTACCAACGATGGATGACTTAAGCCTCTCGAAGAATTGGCGCGAAATAATGCACTTGTCCACTCCAGGTTAAATATTAAGTTATGTCATCTTGGAGAGAATGCAAAATGCACTGGATATAGAACTCCGCCTCCTGGAACAAGCTGGATCCAGGAAAGGTAAATCATGAGCAGGTCATATTCCAACTCTACGCATAGTCATCAAACAAAACACAGAGTGACATTCAAACGTCAACCTTAATTTCACTGACTTCTAAAATGCCTTCAATAGACAGAGTTGATCGAGACGTAATTTGAAAACTACTTCTACTCTTTGGTGTGAAGTGCCTAAAATCTTCATCAACCTCATTCAACAACTGTCTATATGACAATGCTACAAGTCATGTGATCCGAAACGGAGAATTCAGCAAGGCGTTTGAAATGAATACAGGAGTAAGACAAGACTGCCACCAACAATCACCGAGATGATATTGTCAATTGTATTGGACTGGATTATCTGTTAGACTGTGCGTTGGGAGTGAGAAGACAGGAATAGATTGAATCACTGATAATAATAAAACTCTAGAAGATCTGGATTTCACGTGTGGATAAGTTATGTTTAATGTTACAAAAACTTGAAGAACTACAAGTGCAAACCAACAGAATGGCGGAATAGATAGGCAGAGAAAACATGAGTCCATATGAACATAGAAAAGATGGAGGTGATGAAGATAGCCAACCAAGAGCAACAGCAATCAGCGCCAATCACCACCAACGGGAGAGATTTGACAGAGGTTACTTCCTTCCTTCCTTTATTTATAAAGGAAGCATCGTTTCTGCAACAGGCACTCGGAACGGATGGAGATGTCACAGTCAGCCAGGTAGAATCGGAAAGGCAAGATTTTGCCTTCGTCAACCTGAAACGAGTTTGGAAATCTGTTGTCACTCATCAGCATGACACAACAAGATTCAGATTCTACTCAACACATGTGAAGTCAGTCAATCATTTCTTCTATACGGGTCAGAAATGTGGCTAGCGTGTCTCAAAGAGGATTTACAACAAGTTACAGACTTTTATCAACAAGCCGCTCATTTCTCTGGCCTCATACTGAAGATCAAATGGCCAGCTGACCAGTAAGAAGGAATTAGCAACAAGAAACTCTGTAGTGGAACAAACCAACCAAGAGCCGATTACTCAGTAAATATGTGGAAGAAAATGGAGATGAATCAGGTATACGCTGAGGAGACCGTCGAATGACATCGCGTTTAGTGCAGGCCATCGCTTGAGTAGAATACGAATGGAAAGTGGCGATGAATGTGTCTTCAGTGCGAGGGTGGCATTGGGGAGATCGTGTGAGGAGGAGAAGATGAGAGATTATGGGAAAACATGGAGCTAGCCAGATGAAGAGGACAGTAGAGAATAGAACAAAGTGGAGATGTATTGCTGAAGCCCTATGTTCCACCTGAAACCCAAGGGAATAACAATATATTTTTTGAATTTTAATTCTTGAAAACCACAAAATACTGAATAGCTCTTTTGTCATGCTTTGGGACACTTTGGCAGTAAATCTGGATCACCCTACCGAGAATCGAATCTAGAAGCATCAGTTAGCTCAAATAAAGTATAATTATATTACAATAGTTTACACACAATGATAAGTTTTGTTATTGTTAATATTTCGAGCAAAATTACTGCCCGTGTTCTGTCTGTCTGTTTTTAACATAGAAATTTGCACTGATGTGCGGCAGTTCAAGTCGCCACACTCCCTCCATGTAGCATACAAAGTAAGAGAAGAAAGTACAAGAAATGCATAATAGAGACAGTAGACAGAGGTGTGAGATAAAGGAATAGTAAAAACAAAGAACAATATAGCTTCATTGGAAATCATAAGTCACAAGGAGTGAATGCATCTGCACCAGCCATTGAGAACGACCACTTTGAGCCGGCTATATCACCCATTGTTTCCAACCACTGGTTTATACCGTCCCGAGAACACCGATCAGGAAGTCTACACCTTCCCACGTGGCTTAAACTAACTGTTGTGAATTTCATCGACTGGCGCCATGTTTTGGTTTGACCGCTGCTAGCTCTTTTCCAGCTAGATCCTATGTCAGCTAGCATTTCCCATTGTCGAGGAAGGCGATCGATGCTTAGTCATGCGTGAGTAACACGTGTCCTAACCATCTCAGTCGATGTAATTTCATAGCCTCGTCAATTGATTTACCCTCCTTATCTAGCACTCGACGCCTAACCTCAATATTACTCACCTTATTGTACCACTTCACACGGGAGATAGAGCGCAGGCATCTATGATCAAAGACAGCTAATGTTTTCATATCTTCCACTCTCAATGGCCAGGTTTCAGTCACACCCATAAAGGAGGACGGAGCAGACTGGTGAGCAGTACACTCGCCCTTTGGTCGATAGTCGGATATCACGTTCACTAAGCCAGAGATGGCGTAAACTGGCATATGCGAAACTAGCCCTCTGTATCCGTACCGAGATTTCTTCAGAGATCAACCCGTTGGCGTTGGCTGATGGTACTTCCAAAATAGGTGAAGCGGTCAGCGTGCTCTACCACTTCACTTTTATTTCTAAACTGGGAGTCAGTGTAGTCCAGTCCTATAACATCATCTTACATTTGGCGGGAGTGAATCGCATGCCAAACATTCGTAGATTACAGTTCAAGCTGACAATGTTCACACCCTTTGTTGGAATTGTTTTGTGTGTAAACTATTGAAATATAATTATACTTTATTCGATCTAATCCACAATGCTCAAACTTTTTACTGATATTAAATCAGTCAGCTCGTTGACCACTTAATCACTCGGATGGAACCCAATAATCCATAAGTTCTAAATTCTACTAATTTGCAATACACACTGTCACCACCAGTCAATGTCAAATGACAAATCTCACTGATCATAACTTCTTGCTCAAAAATTAGGCAACTTTGTCATGTGGTCAGTCACTAATTATCATTAGATTGAGTTTTAAAAATGTCTTCTGTGGAAGAGGCTCAGACCAGAGCAAAACACAGATCCGGTATTCCTTGATTTCCAGTAGTTCTCTAACTGATCTCGTTCCGTAATCTAACTTAAAACCAGTCAAGTCGCAGCACATCAACACATGAAAATACCAATCCTGCTGGGTCTATCAAAAGAATATTTTGTCATTTTGACATGAAGAACATATGAACAGATACCTAATGCATTATATTTCTAAAAGATGATGGGCAACAGTTGAAACTAAGATGAATTTCATTGGTATAATTGTTCTTTTTGAGGGTAGAAGAACTGGATGGTTTAATTACAAAGCCTTTATTGTCTTTCTAGACAACAGGTTCAATATTGCCTTAATATGAAGTAAGCGTTATCCGGAATTCTTCATGACTGTAATCAGCATTCCTTCTAATGTCTTTGAATATATATATGATGGGTTGTCATCAGAGATTGATTAGTTCGTTAACCTAATATTTGACTTTTTGCCTACAGGGTATCTTTTTGATTTTC